TGCCACCATCTGACTGAGTCATCATGCCTCAGATCAGAAAAACCTTTCGGCCTTGCTCCCGGAGTTTGAATTGAATTTCTGAGACCGCTTCGGTAATTTGCGCAAGGATACATTCTGGTCTTCTAGCTTGACGCGATATATACTGCGACAGCCAAGCCACGCATGCCCACACGCTCCTTGTGCTTCAGATCAAACTCGTCCAGCGCCATAGGCTTAGAACCTGCACGCACATCGGGTTCTTTGCATCTAACTTTGGAAGATTTGGAAGTAAGCAGCTTGTCTTTGTCGCATGGCCCATGGTCTATGGATGCTCTAAGCCGTGGAGGAAGGTATTACTCAACGCGCGCAGCTTTTGCACAAGCAGCACGGCGACGCCTTTGGCTCTTGAGATGATTGGCTCCTTGCACCACTGCGAGAGAATGCCGGAAATCGACCGCAGGTTACCTTGGAACAGCAGTTTTCGGCGGCTAGAGCCATCTTGAAGTCATTTAAGAGTTGCTGAGCCGCCCTTCATGATCTCCACGACTCCAGAAACGTCGCTGACCACTCGCATGGTATTCCTGAGTTTCTTGGTTAGAACACTCAGCAGCTACTCGAATCAAAGAGCTATTGTAAGCTTCCATGAGGTGCATTTTCCAACCCAGCTTCTCGATGAACTCTGGGATTTTGTCCTCGCTGCGCCACTTCAGCTCCGTGAGACCCGGCGACAGCACCTTCAACATCGGCCCTCTCACACTCGGACTAGCCAGTTGAGGATAGCTGAGGTTTAGGAGGAGTGCTACACTACACTACACTGACTGCAGCTGTTTCACTAAAAGTTTGGTCTGACTTAAGAAGTGGAATGGGCTTGAAGCCAAAATATGAGCAGTTCGTAGAATCGCGTGGCCTGATCCATCTTGGCAATACGATCTTCCAAGAGCGGCTCCTCGACAGGCAGCAGCTCTGTCAGCACGGCATTGTACCTGCAGGTATGGCCACAGAGGCGTCTGCTTCACAAGCGCATGAGACCGTGGTCTGTCGCCCAGGCACATTCCCACGATGTGATCCATCTGCGCGACCCACTGCCTGTAAGTGGCCACCCGGTCAAACATTTCCAGTGCTGCCTCATCTGAGCAGAGCTGAGTTGAAGTGGAGGAAAGGCGAACCGCGCGAACATGTGCTGCCGAAATCGATTCGCCGGTGCTCTCCGAGGCACGGGAGGCACCTCGATGTCGAAGATGAGGAAAAACTTCACCTCCCGCAGCAATCGGACCAAGGCCGGGTCGAAGTTCACCTTCAGAAGACCCGACTTCTCCTGCCGTCGCAGGAGCCTCATCTTCAGCTTCTCCTTGGCGGCTTCGACGGAGGTCTGCTCCCAAGTCTGGTAGCGCTGCAGCTCGTAGTCCTGGAGCATCTTGTCCAAGGTCTGATGCTGCTTTTTCACCTCTCTGAACTCTTCAGGCGTTTCCCTCAATGCGAGGTTGTAGAACGCGAGCTTGTTCATCGGCTCGTTGATGCGGTGCCTTGAGCAGCGGGCCCAATAGATGGCACCGGCCGCTGGAGGCAGATTCGAGAAGATCGGCGCATCGTCGTAGCACTGGTCCACCTTGTCCTTCGCCTTCACATGACAGTGCCGGTATCCTTAAGCTTCACCACCAACCTACCCCGACCCTGGCACCACACCTCCACGAAGCCAGTCTCCACGGCTGTGAGATCCTGTTCGACCTCGGGACTCAATTGCCAGACATGTCGAGATGGCCTCAAGCCACACACGGGCACACAAGCACAAATTCTCTGGTGCCTGACCTGGTGTAACAGCATCTTGTGCTTCTTCTCCAGCTCTGCCTGGCGATTGTTGCGAAGTCGAACCCCGTCCTACAACCGTAGCTTTCCACTCTGTCGCAATCCCTCGACAGGCCTGGATGATCGGACGCTCCAGCAAGCCCTCGAAAATGTCGAACAGCTTGATGCGCATGTTGATGGTGTCCAAATCCTCTGCATTACGAGGCAGTCAGGACTTGACAGATAGTCCGACCTGGCTCACGTAGGCCACCTCAACCGAACTTTGGGCTGGTTTCCTAAACGCACTCATCGCCGCCATTCCAGCCCAGGCTCGTCAAAAGCAGAGCCCAGGAGGCTACCAAGTCTCCTGTCAAGATCCTTGACTGTCATGCGGAACTTGAAGTAGTCGTGCTCGAACCTAGGCTGCCCAACTTCCAAGCACGGGCATGGGCATGCTGAATTTTAAAGTGAACATCAAGCACCTATACCATCCATCACCCTACACCGAGACATCTGGGATCTGAAAAGTAGCTGCACTTCTCCGACATCCATGATGTCATAGCTCACTCCTTTGAAGGTCTCGACGCACTTCAAGAACTCCTCTTTGATGGCGACGACACAGTCCGAAAGGACCTAGAGCCGACTTCACGGTTCAGACTCTTGACTCGCTTCCCAATGTGCCGTGGTCGCCCTTTAGAAGAGAATTCGGAATACTTGCTTCTGTGGTTTATTGAATCATGACGAATCCCTCACACTCACCGCCACGAGCCCGTGGATGCTGTGCTACTTCTCCGGCTAATCCGGCTTCAGCTGAATGGGCGGCCATGGCTACCGTGTTGACTTCGGCAGAACCGCAACCCAGCAATGCACTATTACCGGTCAATCAACACTAATCGTAGCCGCTAAGGGGGGACATCATTTCAGCAATGCGGCCTTACCCTTTGTCCCACCGATTTCCACACGCTCGAGCTTGGAGAACTGTATCACCTTCACAGGAGCAATTGAGGCAAAGACGATGGAAACGTGCTCGATTAGCTCGCATCCCCCGGGTTCATCACTATTGCTCCAAGTCGGACATGCACCCTCTGCAAGCAGCATGAAATGTTTAATTGTCATGCCAGTCCCTTCCGCACAAAGCCAAACGCGCTGCACCGAGAACATGCTGCAAAATCCACATGACACGGCACCGTGCGTGTGAAGTCCAAGGCATCACGGCAACGATCCCGGAAGGAGTCGAGCCGAACGAAAAGGGCATCGTTCTTCCTGGATTGCGTCAACTTCTGACTGCCACGCCCCTGTGGGGTCAAGGACGTTCGAAAGAAGCTTCCGTGTGCAGGCATATGCGGGCCGAGGCTCATCTTCCATCCGGAACCATCCTGATTCAGCGCGATGTCCTTGAATAGAAGGTAGGCATCCTTGAAGGAAGTGCAAATCCTGCAGACGAGTGTGATACGAGCAATGCAGCAAACATGATGCTTGTGGACGGCTGACAGCTCAATGCACCATGGTGCCGGAGCTCCTGTACGTGTTTTCGAGCTTGGCATAGCACTCTGTTGTCTCTTCGGAAGAGATCATGGTGAAAATGTCGCTGCCGTTGATGTACCGAACCGCCTGTGCAATGATGGAATTGCCTCAGCTGCTGTGCGACAGGAAGCAGCTTGGCTAAACAGTTGGACTGAACTAATCTTTGACTGACTAGCACAGCTGACCTTTCAACCAAGCAACAAATTTCCCTGATCAGGACAGCCAATCGCGTTGGCGTGGTGTAGAACTTCGAATAGCGCCAGATGAGCAGAATGTTGTGAAGGACTGGCTCAAACAGCTGCTCGAGCTGCTCGAAATCAGCGCTGTCACTGGTGAGTTTGTCGATGGACCTCAAGTGACTCAAGTATGCTATTTCTCCCTCCGACGACGCCCGACGACGCCCCAACTACCAAGTCGTCCTGGCGGCACAACGCAAGAAACACAGCATACTCACAGCATCAAAGCGAGCTCTGTTATGACAAGTAGCTTTGTCAACGTTGACAAGAACTTTACGTTGTCGTTTGCCTCTTCCCGAGCCTCTTCAACCTCCTTCTGCAGCTTTGAAAAAGGTGCAGTGTACGTGCTCTTGTTCGTCTCTAAGAACTTCAGGACCTTCTTCAGCGCATCCATACCCAATTGAGAATGGATGGAGTTCAAGTTTGCTGCCTTGCTGCGCCAGAACTTGAGCTCGGCGCTTGGTTCCGGGTTCTTGCCGTCCTTGAGCAGCACCTCGGGATCCTGTTTGAGCACGTGGCGAATCTGCTTGGTCCACGTAATCACCGCCCCTTCCAGGACGTGCACCTTATCCTTGCCACCAGATGATCCAGCGCCGCCTGAGGCAGCAGCCATGCCGCCACTGGTGGGGAGCGCATCTCGCGGTGGGTGGGGCAACCAGGTGTGGCCCTTCATGAGTCCCACGGTTACGTGCAGGCTGGCAAGGAAGACATGGTACTTGTCCATGAGGTCTTTGGCGATCAGATCTGACCATCCTGCCTGATTTGCAGGGTTCGTCAGTGTAGAAAGGTAAACTGATTGGCAATACATATTCAGCAAATCCATCACGTTCTTCGTCATCTCCATCAGGATGACTGACTCTGCAATGGTTTCCTTGCTGATCTGGACTTCAGGGCTCGATCTATGCATGGCCACAAACTTCTTTCTCATCTGCGGAGCTGAAGGGAGATCCACAGTGCATGTGACCGACTCACTGCTAGGGATGAAAAAGCAAGCTGGGACCTCAGGCTCGTCCAAGAAGCGTGCCAAAGCTCTAGCAGAAGCCTCTTCTGTAGTGAAACCGCTGATGAACTTGTCTGACTTTTCCGGCCGGATCCCCAGGAGCACCATCAGCCTGTTCAGTGTCCATAAAGTCCGTGCCTCCACGCCTTTGGCGGAGCCCTCACCTTCTGCCATGGCGCTACGGAAAAGAAAGAAAGAAAGAAAGGATCCGCCACTATACGCGAGATCCAAGGAGAGCTGATTTCACTCTTCCCGAGCTTGGGCCAAGTCAGAGCATGTCAGGGCCGCAATCTGGTATTGGCCACCCGGAGCAGTCTGTCTCCATGCATCATGACTTCTAGCTTCCTTCAAGCAGGATTTGAGATGGCATGCCTGCAACTTCTCACACGACGGCATGTACGGTGCTGCATGACGCTGCATGTCTCATCTTCTCGACGAGCAGGCAGGCATCAAGGACTTGAATGTGTTAAGCAAGCGTCATGGAGTTGAAAGTGATGACGTCGGGCTGCAGGCTTGCATCCAACATCTCTCGGAACTTTGCTTCTGCCTAAGCTTGCACACATCCGCAATCTTACAAAACTTACCACGATCTCACTGAGTCCTGCAAGATCAGCAGCCAAGGAAACCTCCCGCGCCTCTCTGGTTTTGCCCCGACGGGCACAGCCACTCAGCATTGCATTGTAAACCTCCACGGTTGGAGTGGTACCTATCATGGGGTTTCGCCCTGGGCCAGCAAACACCGCAGACTGCACCCAGAGCACTCCCAGAGCGCTCCGGGTGGAAAGTTCCAGCATTCAAGCAACTTCAAGCCAAGCCTTCCTTCTGCAGCTGCTCCACAAAGGCCTTGGCTAGGCGGGAAGCACACACTGTTTCGTGATGTACAGAAAGCTTTTTCCTTATTCAGGATTTTGTGCTTGGTTTGACAACCTTTTCCAGGACGCGGCCATGATGTGAGCACTTTCGCCCAGCAAACTATGTTCTCTCAGAAATAATCGCTTGTAATGGGTGACGCAAAGAAGCGCCAACAGTTGTGCAGCTGCCAAACTCCGCGCCCATGTCTCCCATTGCAAAACCTCCTCGGCACCTGAACCTGGATGAAGCAGAAGGAAGCCACATCAAGCCCTCCAAACTACTCGCGATGGGCTTCACTCCAGGAACCATGCAGCCCCGGCACCGCACCGGCCTTTGTTTGCCCACCTTTTGAGCAGCCATGGACCAGTGATGTGACCATTGACGGCGAGGGCTCGAGGTGACGCCCACTCATCTGCAGCAGATTGAGAGTTGCGTCTGCTCTCTCGTGCTGGTGGTGCTGACCCAGATCAGAGTCGCAATGCAGCAAAAATCAATGTGCATTCAAGCGCAGTGTGGATCCTGGAGGAGAGGAGGGATCTACAGAGATTCAGCCGCCCGCGATGTACGGATGTGCACGGTAGAAGGCAAGAAGCAATGGATGTTGACAATTCAATTCAGATCAGGACAGATCTTGAATACTAAATTCCGTATCCCCGCCCACATCACACTCATCACACAAAACTGTGCCACCTCTCGAAGACACATTTCGGCGTGCAGAGGCTTGCCTGGCCACATCTGTCGAATTTTGAGCAGAATCAGACTTCAACTTGCGCGCTGTGCCTCTCTGGGCCCAAGCTGCCGCGACCGCCCCAACACTGTCGGGGCTGGGCTCCAGGCCTGACCAACGCATCAACCGTCCGCGCTTCAGCGACATTCTGACATGCTCCCCGGACCTTGCCGGATCATCTCCTGCCAGTGCCAGTTCGCGCTACCAGAAAATCCCTTACATGAGGCTACGGATTCTGGGATTTATCATGACCGGCTCAACCAAGGTCCTGCCTCCAACCAGTACTGTGCCTTCTCTGCTTGGCCCAGCTTCGCGAAGCCGCTGCTCAATGCCTTGGGCGAGACCGTTTGACAGTACTGGTGCAGATATACCACCCGGGTTGGAAAGCTTTCTGCCTTGGGTTCCGGTCTGGACGCTCCTTTTAAGCACGGCCAAGTGACCCCCATGGCGACGGAGTCAAGCACAAGGCCTGGAGCTCAAACGTAGTGCAATCAGCGCCGGCATCGTGGCTCTTGGGGCCGCGCCCTGCTGTGCATTGGCACGTAAGAGAAAAGCCTCCGCTTCATCAGGCCTGCCAGCCTGCAGCGACACCCCGGGCCAACTGCACCTCGCACCCTGAGAGAGATGCCTTCGAGAAAGCATCCGCTACCGTGGTGTACGCCACCACATCCACCTCGAGGCCTGGCAGGTTGCACAGCCACGCCGAACCGTTCATGGGGCGAGTCTCAATCGAAAGCCTGACGCATACTGCTGCTCGAGGAACCATGCCCCCCGCTCCGGCTCCGCTGCCTCTGCAGCCGCCCTGACTGCTCTCAAGCAGGACGCATAAAGCGCATAAAGCTCGACAACCGAAACCACTTCTCGCGATGCCTGATGAGCTTTCCAAAAGTTCGGCCGTTGATGCCTAGGTTGTGTCTCGGCTGTGGCTTAGTGTGACATCGGCGATCACATCCCCTCCGAATGTTGCAGCCAAACCTCCGGAAACACCGTCTGCAACACAAGATACAACCGAACCCGCAGTCCCCAGCCTTTTGCGAGTCAGTTGCAAACACGCTGCCCCAGCATTTCCTGGGCCGCCCCACGTTCAGGCGCCCCCGCAGACACGCGGACATACGCGGACATGCAACACCCAGAACCCGCCTCCGGCACTGACGCAGCACGTGAAGGGCTTCAAAGCATATAAGTCCCGTGCACGAAAGTGCTCTGTAGCTCCGCTCAGGTCACCAGCGATGGCATGCGCCTGCCACAACCCACGCACACTCTACCCGACTCTACCCTCTGCATGAAACCTGGACTGAAGCCGAAAGCCAAGATCTGCGACTCTCAGCCGGCCTTTAGCATGGTGTTCCAAGCGACGGTCCTGTCACGATCGGAAAAGGCTCCCGACAGCTCCCGAGGGCTCCCGAGCTCCCGACCTGGCTCGATCCCTAGGCTGCAAGGCTTCGAAGCATCGCCTGGCGGCGGCGACGTCCCCAGCCTCGGAGAAGGCAGAATGGCAAAAAGCGGAGTCCGAGATTCTCCCGTCACAGCCCCAAGGGCCAAGCACTCGCCGCGGCATTGAGCGCAGCCAGCTGAGCGGCTTTGCGCATACTCCGGAAAGGCTTCCCAGCAGTCCATGGCGTTCGTGTGTAAGTGCATGGAGAGCGTCTATAAGCCACGTAAGTCAAGCTTCTCTCAAAAGGTTGGGCCAATGTGAGAAGTATGCGAACCAGCTTCCAGCTGTTCGCCTTGCCCATCATACGTTCCCAGTGTGCTTGAAGCTCGACTGTACCATAAATGCATGCCGACATGCCCTACAACGATGCTGGGCGAGAGGTCTTGTGTGCATGCACAGCTGAGCCTTGCAAAAATCCCCGACGCATTGGGAGCGCTCTGTGCCACTAGGCAAGGACTGCAGCCGCATGCAGCTTCAGGTTGTCTGGCTCTTGTGACACCGTGACGAAGAGTGACGCCAGACGAGAGCAACCCTGCCATGCTCACCTCAACAAGACTGAGTTGCCCAAACAGGCAGTCATCTCGCGAGAGGGCTGCAGCCTCGGGGCCAAGAGTGAGCTCCTGCATCACGCACGTGTATTCTTTGCGACTCGTCCTCAACTCGCCTTTCCTTGCTTCATGTGATGGGAAAACCCGTGAGCTCGATCGACACTTTTATCTTCCATGCCCAAGCAGGTAGTCGAAACGTGGCGGTCAGATACGGCCTCCTCTTCCTACGACTGGTCGTCGGCTAGATCCCGAACGCGATGGCACTTCTACTGACACACCGGTGACGTGCTTGGATGCATTTGATCAAACCACTGAGATTTCTTGGAAGCAAATGCAGCACTTTTCAGAACCTCACACCACTTGTGTGGTAACAAGTTGCAGACGGAGTGGTAGCTGAGTTTTCTGTAAAGTGAATGTCTCTTTGTTCTGCACATTTGCAAGGAGCTACCCTGCCCCGAGCAAGAACGGTTGGATCTTCGTTAACGTCTTCTTGACTAGCGGGTTAGCGACACAGATCGAGGACACCAACTTGCACTTCAACGTCGAGGAGTTCACAGGCTCGTGGATAGAAGCTTGGGTGTGGGAACGGAGAGACACACAGAGACAGAGAGATGGAACGTGGTCACAAGTCTTGCTGATAGGCACTCGGACGAGACTCAGACAGAAAGCAGAGCTTGCTTTGCCTGTGCTCATTGCGCACCAAGTCTCTGGTTCTCTCTCCCTCCTTTCCCCTCTCACCCAACCACAACCCCGGAACCAAGTTATGGACATTGCCTACTAGCTCTAGCTCGCGTCCTGTTGCTGCAGACATTCCGAATGTTGGGCACAGCACGTTTGGCACGGCCCAGCTGCAGAGGGGGTAGGCAGACCACTTGGAAAAACTGTCACACGAACAATCTAGCGTGCCACACGCATTGACACTTTTCCTGCCATGATCAGACCGATCATGACGCACTTTCTGCCAAATTTGTCACGAGCCAATGCCCACCCTCTGCATCAACAATCTCATGCCACTGCAGCCCAGATCAAACAAGACTTTGGCAGGCGGCCATGACTTCAGATCTGTATGGTTCAACTGCAACACTGGACTGTGCCCACTCTTCATGCGCTCTGGGCCAAAGTCTTCTTGAGCTGTGCAGGCTGCACCGTGTGGGAGTGGCACAGAGTCCATTATCGTGCCCACTTGCAACATAATGGTGCTTCGGGACTCATTCCCTGTTGCAAGAGGACCATGTTTTGAGTTGCTCACGTGACCCGGAGGGCCCAGAAACGGCGCATTCAGTCAGTAGCCGTACTGCTTTCGGACGCAGGCCCTCCCGAATCAAACAACGAAACGATCGTGTTGCTGGATGTCCTTATGCTCACGCGAGAGGCTTCGCGGCCAGTGCCGATTGCACAAATCCATGTGCAAATTCTGCAGCAGCCAATTGTCCACCACCTGCTGCCTAGAAGTTTTGCGGAACGTCGGCACTGCAGTTGGTGGACAGCACCAGGCTGTGGACATTTGGAGGGATGCATCATTGCATCTTGCTCAACTACAAGACGACCATAGCACCATCTGCAGATTCCGTGGCCGGTCGACGGGTCTACAAGAAAATTTCAAGCAAGCCACCCTTCATGGCAGGAAGGTCTGTACAGGTTCACCCTACCCTGACACTCATGGGAGTCACACAGGGAGCAGAGTTCAGTCAAGACGTAAAGGTGAATTCACCATGTCACTCCCGGCTCCATTCTACGCTCTTCCCGGACAAATTTCAAACGAAACGTATAAGTCCACCTTTCGCAGGACTAGGCCCTAGGCTGCATGGAAGGAGAAGCCGAAACAAGCCGAAGCAGACAATTGGACTTACCCCTGTACGAGTTATGCAAGGCTTAAAGTAAATTTTCAAACGCCACTGCGAGAGATTGCTATCTTTATGGAGGACCGAGCTTTCACTGAAAAACCTCGGCCGGATTGTACAAGTCACTGGGCGTACCCCATGACCTCAAAGGTATGCGAATGGATCTGCAACCGCGAAGCTTGGTGCACTACATGCACTCACTCACTATTGGTGTATTGCTTTCTTACTATACGATACTATACAACAGACAAATGCAAGTACTATAAGCGGCGACCCTAATCTTGCTCGCGAGCGGAGTGGTCTCGTGCACTCTTCTGGTTCGGTGTAACAAACAAAAGACGCTTGTTGCCCCGAGTCTTCGAGAACCGTGCAGCCGACAGTCGGTACCTGTATGACTATTTTTGGATCGGCACTTGGGCGCAGTTGCTCGAAGGGGTGTGGTTTTGACCCGCGTCAAGTCAGAGATTTCGTTTTGAGGGTAGACAGTCACGGGTTGTCTCCGCCCTCTTTCTCATTCCCTTCTTCAACACGGTAGCACGTCCCCGCCCCACTCCCGCCCCGTGCGACGTCGCAGTGGGAACGTTGAGAAACAGTCGGGATAAGCTGCCTGAGACTCAGCCTTACGACAAACAGCCGCTAAACTACAAATCCACTCTCATTCCCTCTCGATCTCCGTCTTTCTTGTATCGTGGCAAGACACACACCACTGCCGCTGGGCGAGGGGTGGTCGTTGTTGAACCTTGCTGGCTCTCATGCTAACGTAGCAGACTCTTATCTTAAACACACTGCCACTGCCGGCCAGGTAGATTAATTTGGGAGATACCTCGGATCGGGAGAGGTAATCACTTGCTTTCGAGGGGAGCAGCCAGTCGTGAGGGGGCGCAATGCACTGCTCTGCCCTGAGTGTAGCAAGATCACGTGAAACTGCCTTCTCAGCCCGGCGCCTCTACGTACCTTCAGGCTACGAAACATTACATTTCCCGTGTTGAAGACACTCTGTCCAGCCTAGAGTTTCAGGACAGTCTGACCCGTGCTTGTTACTCCATCCTCGAAGTCCCGCTAGAACGAGCATGTAGCAACGCAGCGCGAGCCACAACACCGTGGACTCTACACTCTACTCCTAGCTCTTTTGAACTGTCGACGCCCCTGAATGCACATCACATTCCATAATCTTAGAAGATTCAAGGTTATAGCTGTCATACCATGCAAGAGCAAGATCCCCCCGGTCGATAATGACACGACCTATGCGACCAGGCCCAGGAGCGACAGGTCCGGAGGAACGTGCACGTTCTGCGTCTGCAGAACTTCACTGGCACGAGCCTATGCTGGTGGTGGCAACGAGCAACTCAAACTACTGGCTTCGGTGCTGCAATGTGTAAAGTTCTTCTTGCATCGCACTCACCCATCAAGTGAGTAGAAAACGACCTGCCGACCGCAATCAGCCATGATTCCGCCGAGGTTCCAAAGCGTTCTGAATACTGAGGTTGACTTCAGGATAGGCTTCTATCGAGTTGTCGCGGCCTGCACACTTCGCAAGCCAGCACACGTCTGGACTCTAAGCGACTCTCGCAATCAAAGCAAAAACCATTGCCATAGAGTCATCATTTGTGGCGACAATTTCTACCTGTTCGGGTCGCAACCTGACCGCTTACCCCCCCCCCCCCCACGATTTGCACCTCCGAGGCTGAACCGTAACTGGACGGAGATGCAGTGACGGGCAATCTGAACCGCCTGAGGCACCGCATGCTGGGCTGATAGGTTTGGTTTTCGTTCCGATATGTATGGCAAGCGGAAGGTCTCACGACAGTTCAACCACTTGAAGAGGAGCGACTTGCATGCACAGGTACCTTGACCATCTTCTTTGTGCCATCACGCTTCTCCAGCCACCTGCACGACGCGCGTGTTTCAACTCTGGAGCCCGAAGAACTCAAGAGAAAACACTCCGAGGGCCTCAGGTCCTGCTCCAGTGTGCTGAGGCCGCAAGGATCCTGGCCTCGGTGGTTCCCAATGTGTCCGACTCTGCCCGGTGCCTGCAGAACATATGACTCTATGGTCTCATTGGTCTCTACAGTAGTCGAAAATTCCAACAACTACCAACAAGCGCGAAAGCCTTCCCTGCGTAGCAAGGAACCCGGTTCCGGATGAACGAAGTTATTGAAAGCACGTATATCTGTGGAGATGCGGCCAAGTTAACAATGCTACGCCTCCACCTGAATCTACCTGTTCAGTTTGCCACACCTC